ATTGGTTTTATCTGGGCCCAATAACTCGGCCACTTTGCACATATTTTCAGCAGTTATTTTCAGCTCACTTGTATAATACACTTCATCCACGTGGAAGACAGTGCAATTCGCAAAGGCAGATGAAACGTGGACGAAGGATTCTAGCTTAGACATATTTTTCGCCAATGTTATTAAATCCATGGTAGCGCGCACATTTATAGCTAATGCATTGTAGAGTGGTTCATTAAAGCGGACCGTAGCTGCGCTGTGTATGACTATTTGAGTCCCATCAATTAAAGTTTGGCGATCAGCTGGTGAAATGCCCAAATTGGCCAGAAGGCAGTCACCCAGAATTGGTACTATACGTTTTTTTGCCGATGGTTTTTTACGATTCAACTCGGCAAAAAGCTTTAATTTCAAAACAATTATGTAAATGTTTGTACTTTTGTTTTATTGCTTAATATCAAATTTACCGGATTTTTGAACATAGCATCTATGCGGTCTTCAACACTTTGCTCCTTTTTGGGGCGTATTAGTATGTATATACATTTTACTTCTGTGGCACGTAATATTTTTTCAATAAAAACTAAAAGCAAAAGATGGAAGAGAAAAATTATACATATAAATTTGTTTACATTTATGTACGGGTATGTAAGCAGATTAACAAATAAGCAGCGTGCCAATTTGCTGTATACTATGTTTGCGGTTAAGCATGAAGAAAATAGTTAGGCGATACACAACAATTATCATAATGGGCCTCATGCATAAAGATAATTATTGTTTCTTGGCCCCCGAAAAACCCCAAAAAAGTGCAATAAAGGATTTCCAAGGATTCTATACAATTTCTATTTAGATGGAAAACTTTGAGCGCTGTGAACCTTTATATTTTTTATTTAAAAAAAATATGGGTATATTTTTTCGATTTAGAACAATCCTAAAGGGTGAAGTCGTTAAAATTTTTAATTTACTTTTTCGCATTCATTTTTTTGGGCCACCCTTATCTACATATTAGCATTTGCCAGCGTATCCGCCCGCATGATACGAGTATGAATAGAATGTTACACCTGAATCTCAATCTGCTACCAATAACCGATGCTCTTACTATTAAAATATTTCATTTATC